GGCAGCACCAGCAGCTTCCTGAGCTCGCCCTCCGAGTCCTCGGGCTACGTCACGCTGCCCTCGGACTCGCTGGGCTCCGCGTCCTAGGGCCTGCCGGCGCTTTCCCATGCGCGCCCGGCGGGCCGGGCCGCCCGCAGGGACCAAAGCACCAAAGATGCCACGCTGACCCAGGCCGGGTCCCGGGCAGCGCCACGCGGGGCCTGCCGACGGCGCCTGGCCCAGTGCCAGCCCTCCCTGCGTGACTGAGCCGTGGGCGTTGCCTGGAGGGGCGGCAGCTGCCCTGGACCGCTGCTGGGTAGCGCATCACGGGGCAGAGCGAGGCTGGGCTTGGGTAAAGGCGGGCTCTGCACGCCCTGATGTGCCTGGGCAGCGGGACTGGGGGGATGGGGGTGGCAGCAAGGAGCCCGGGGCAGGGCCACCACCAGGCAGAACAAAGCCCAGCCCTGCAGAAGCAGGAGCCACGGGACTGACTGCACCCTGCTTTCCACTTTGCACTGTTAACTGTCTCACCTCAGCGGGGGGCAGGGTACAGAGGGTCTCTAAGCACAGGGGTCTTCAGAGCCCAAACAAGCTCTCTGAGCAGGTGTTCCTGCTGACCAGTTCTGCCTCAGTTTCCCCATCTGTAATGAGCAGGTGACCATATTAACTCTCAGGACTGTTTGGAGAAGTCTCCCGGTCCGCGTGCACCGGCCCCTGCATGGACAGGGTGTGAGAGCGTCTAGGGCCCTCTGTGGGTCCTTTGTGGGGGTCAGTCTTCAGTGTGTGGCCTGCTGTGGCCTCTGCGCCTGAGGCCTCCCACTCTCAGTGCCCCTGGCCCCCACCCGCACCCCGGCTATAAAGCACAACACTTTGCACCATCACCCACCTTGACCACTGTTAGTGTCCCTGCCCTCTTCACTCTCCCCACCGCACCAGCCACCTCTAGGATTCCCACCATGAAGGTCGTGGGTCCATGATGGGCGAGAACTGAAGCGAAGGGAGATTGGGCTTCCTTATCTTGAGGCCCCCGGGACAGGGGTCCTGGCCTAGAGGTCTCCCAGATTCTGGGTTTAAGGCCTGGTCCCTGCTGAGGGTCCTCCCTCACCCCGGGGTCAGGGCTCTTTGCTCTCTCTCCTGAGCAGAGCCCTTGCTAGCCTAGGCTTCACCATGGGCCTTGGGGAGGGGCCTGCTGGGTCTTCCGTGGAGAGGCACCCTAGAATCCGGCTAAGCAGAGGCCCGGGAACAGCTGTGATCTTGAGCTGAAAGGACAGGGCCAAATGCAGAGGTGGTCTCGTCCTGGCCCCTGCCTCGGCACAATGGCCCTACACAGGAAAACCTGGAGCAGATCCCAGGGCCTGCACAGAGCCGGCCTGCACTGTGCTCCCTCCTGCTCTGCGGCCGCCCCCAACCTTCCCGCCTGTGGCCAAGCCTATTTCCTCACCCAGCTGACAGGGTGTCAGCCCCAGAAGAGGGCCCTGGGGGGTGGGGGGGGAAGGATAGCGGACTGGCTCCATCTCTCCTTCTGAGATCCCCCTAGTCGCTGGCTGGGGGGCAATGGGAGGGATGAGCTGGCCACAGGTGAGCAAGGCAGGAAGCGGCAGTAGAGCCTCAGCCATGGGACGCGCCGCCTCTGGCCATCAACGCTGTGCCTTCAAGGGCCAACCTGTCATGTGGGGGCAGAGATCTTCAGCTAGCCACTGTGTCGTTCCCCCCACCTCACCCCTCCACCCACTCACCCCTGCTCAGGCCAGCCCATTTGTCACATTGGGTTTTTACTCTGTGTACTTCGTATCCAATGGCAATATTTGCAGGGAGACATGGTACCCCAAAGTCCCTCCAGTTCTGGTTTTTACAAAAAAGAAAAAAGGAGGGAGGACCCCAAACGGAGGACCCTGGAGCCTGGGGCTCCCTCTCACACTTCATGAGCCTCTAGGCCTCTTTGCTGCATTCATAAGCAGCTTGACCCTGGGCTCACAGGGAGCCCTGTCTTCACATCACCACCCACCCAGAGCCAGGGATCCGTTTGTAGTTTTTTGACAACTGAGCATTTCTCTTCTGTACAGGATACAATAAAAACTTCCTATGATTTGCACCTGGCATTCCTAGGCTGGTTGCATGGAAACACCTTTCTAGAATAGAGCAGCACTGCTTAGCCAGCTGCCCCCCAACTTCTCTCCTCTGGGTCCGGAATCCCTCCTAGTGCGCCATCCTTTGGGTCGGTGCCCCTTTTCTATGCAACTGCTGCAGCCCCACCCAGCGAGTGAGACTGGCCTGGAGCAGCTGCAGGATGGAGCTGTGGGCTGGGCACCAAAGAAGCCCTAGAAAGGCAGCTTACAGCCTCGGCTCCAGGTGTGGCTTCAGGGGCGTGTAGCCCCTATGAGGTTGGCTCAGGAGGGCAGGAAGCGTAGGGCCGAGGCGGGGAGCGGGGGTGGTGGTGCCGGACCTACTGTGCGGCTAGCAGGCTCCGGTAAGAATTCGGGAGGCCGCGCCCAGGGTCCGCGGCGTAAGGTCGCCACCTAGTGGCTGGCAGAGGGATTAGTGCGGCTGCCCCGGTCCCCCAGTCGCCCCCAACGCAGTAGGAAGCGGAGACCCAAGAGGCCGGCGCCAGGACCGCCACAGCCGGGACCCCCTCCCCGCCTGTGCTTCAAAGAGTCTGATGGGTGGAGTGGGGGAGCCGGGCCGCTCTCCCCTCGCAGCCTAACCAGAACGGGTTTAGCACACAGGCAAAGCAGGGGCACTCCTAAACGGGAAATGTTTTATAGAAAGTCGGTATTTGTCGTTCAAAAGATGCACCCAAGCAGGCATCGTGGGAGAAATTTGGACCTTCGTGGTCTCTTTTTACCCATTTCACAGGTTTGCCCTGTGTGTATTCTGAATTTCAAACTGGAAGTGCCAGGATCTCTTCCGGGGCTCGGCGCGGGATTCCCGTCCCCCAACCCCAGGCTGCCCCTCGAGAACCGGGACCCCGGGCTAGAGTCCGAGCACAGAAATGACCTCGTTTTCGGACGAATAAACAGGCGCCGAGCGCTCCGAGGGTTGTCGAGGGTCGCGGGCTCTGTGGCGGCCACAGAGGTCCGGAGGCCGGGACCCTCAAGAGCCGCGCGCGGCGGGGGGTGGGGTGAACCGAGCGATGGGCGGAGCATCTTGCGGGGCGGGCTGCTGAGCCAGGACAGCTCCGGGCGGGTCTTCTGAGAGGGGCGGACCTCGGAGAGCGCGCCTGCCGGGTGGGCTGCGCCGCGTACGGAGGGGGTGGGGATCCGTGGAAGCCGAGAGGATCCCAGGTGGGGGTGGGCTGGGGGCCCCTCGCCGGCGGGGCGGGACCCGCCGTGCTTTGTGCCGGTGGGAACCGGGCGTCCTCGGCTGGCTGAATGGGCCGGGGCGGGGCAGCAATTCTCCTCGCTGCGAGGGGTCCGCTCTGCGCCGCTGCAGACGGCGACCTTCCCACCGCGGCGTGGCTGCTGGGTGGGGGTGGGGATGGGCTGCCCGCCGGGGGCCCTGGGAAAGAGGCGCAGCCTGGGACATCCCCTCCCAGCCCCACGAGAAGGTGGGAAGAAGAGAGAGTGGGTCTGGCTTGAGTAGGTGGGGTTCGGGTGGGGGGTGGACCCCGGTCCCCCATGTGGTTCCGTGTATTTCCTCGCGTTCGCGGGCGCGCGGCACCCTCCCGGCCACCCCTGCCACGGGACCGGGACGGACGACTGGGAGTCCCGGCCGTCACCGCAGGCGCGCTCTAAACAGTCTCTGCGTCCCCATGCCAGGCGGGGGCCCCCTTGAGTCCGAGGCCGCGCCGGGACTCACCAGGGCCGCCAAACGCCCAGACCCGGCCCCGGGCTCTCGGTGCAGCGGCGAGGCGCCGGCTGCGGCCCCGGGACGCTGGAGGACGGGCCGGGGAGACCTCCAGGGAAGAGGAGCAGGGGTGGCGGGGAGGGCGAGCCGCCGGTGGCCGGAGCAGGAGCCCAAATGGCAGGGGCGCAGGGGCCGAGCGGGGCGGGTGCCTTCGGGCTCGGGCCGGCGCTGTCCATGGTGCTGCCTCCTGCGCGCTCGTGCGCCAGGGGGCAGCGCAGGCCACCGCCTCCCTCCTCTCGGCGCCGCAGAAGCTGGCTAACGCCGGGCAGACAGCTGCGGAAGCCCGACGGGAACTCAGCTCCGCTGGGGACCGACCAGAGCCCTGGGGGGAGGGGAGCGGACGGGAGAAATGTGAAGGGGAGGGAAGAATGGGAGAGGGGAGGAGGAAAGGAGAGGTGTAGAGACAGAAAAGGAGGGGAGAAGAGTGGCGGGGAAGGGAGGGGAGGGGCTAGGCAACCCGAATTTCTTTCCCAGGGTCCAGATCTTTGCCCAACCGGATTACAACTGCACTAGCCTGCAGGGTCTTTGCGGCCTCCTGGCTCCAGCAATCTGGGGCCCTCTCCTCACCCTGCTGCCCACTGCCTGAAGCTTTCTTCTCCATCCATTTTTCCTTTATCTGGACTTGTCATACCCAGGGCTCTGACCTCACAAGTCACCCCCCCCTCCCGCCCCCGCAGCTCCTTGCCCTACCGGCTCCAGACGCCCTCCCACCTTGCACCGAGTTCTGAAGGCTTTTCATGTACTTGACGCTCAGCTCCAGTATATCTGCCTTCTCCAACTTGCGTTTCCGGATCTGCAGATCAGTGGAAAGGGCTCTTAGCCGGGCAGTCCGACTTGGAAGGAATGAGGTTGGGGATTGTATCTCCCCCACCTCACCACGGCCCCACGTCTCACCTGGTGTGAGTAGTGTTTCTCCAGCAACGACTTCAGCTGCTCCAGGGACACATTGATGCGTGCCCGTCGCTTCTTCTCCATCAGTGGCTTGGAGATCTGTGAAGGGGTGGCATTTTAGGGCAGGGCGACGGTCCTCTCACCCTCTGCCCCACACCACCCCCGCCTTGGCAGGGCGCCCACCCTGCGCTCCTCAGGACTCCAGACCTTGCGGAAGCCGCCGGCATGGCCACCGGAGCTGGCCTGGGTCCCGGGCTTAGTGCCCATGGTGTCGTTATCTGCGCCTGTGGGAGGCAGTGCCGCCTTTATAGGGGCTTCTCGTTTACATGTCAATGAGGCGCTCCTGGGCTCGAGGAACCCCGAGGGGGGGAGGAGATGAGAGGGGGATGCACTGTGAAATTCCCCACCTCCCTCTTTGCCCGGGCTTCAGCCTCACCTCCAGGAACCCTCCTTTCTTCCAAGGGACCCCCCTTCCCCTTTCTCAGTCTTTCCTTTATCCCACTCACCCCCACCACTTCCTGAGTCTGGGCTCCCCTCCCATGCACACCCCTCCATGCCCTGTCCTGTCTCCGTGTCTAGTGTCCCTAGGTACTGAGCCTCACCACTAAGCCCACTTACTAGGCCCCTTGCTGCCCCTTGCCTCCAAGCATTCTGGGAGGGCACCCACTGAGGAATGTCCATGGGCCCAGCTGGCTCTGAGCCGGGCTCATGACTCTGACAAGGTGCCGCGCCTCTCTGGGCCTGATGAAGATGCGGAGGCAGGGAGGACCCGCCAGCGAAGCCTTTCTGCGGGTTTCACGCTCTGGCCACGCTGGCAACGCCACATTAGTCGCCCTAATGTCGGGACAATGCAGCGATTTTCTGCCTGTGGCTGCTCAAAGCCGGGCACAGGCTGGGCCTGAGGGGGCCAAGCAGCGACATGTGTCCCATTAAAGCGTGCAGCCCGCCCTCAGGGCCACAGCCAGTCTCCTCCTGGCTGGGGTCTTGGACTGGGAGCACTCCTGTGCAGAGGTGTAGCCTGGGCTCATGTGCCCTCTGGCCCTGTTAGGCCCCAATCCACCTCTCCTAGCTGGGGGGAAGCTGCAGGCAGCCTCAAGCCAGGGCGAAGAGAACAGCCTCCTCCATCCTCATTCCCAGATTTCCAGGCTGGACAAGTAAGGCACTGACCCTTTACCTCACAGCCTGCGAGTTCATTCCCACCAGCCTTCTCTTGGTCCCAACAAATGTAAGGTGAGAGTGGGAAAGACCACTGATCATATGGGGAGAGCACCATTCTGTGCTCTTGGAGGTCTGGAACCCCCACACACTTTTCATTATTCGGGCTGTGGTTGGAGACCCAGGGAGCTCCGTGGAGGAGGCACCCACCCCAGGACCGGGTAGGCCCTACAGCAGGACTGGTGCAGTCCCGGGCTGGACCCTGGGAGCAGGACTCCAGTAGCTGTGACTGACAGGCTGACGTCCAGAGGAGTCCCTGAAGTTCACAACTAGTTATCTCCCTGTACTGGGCTCGCAGGGCCTCAGTTTCAGAGTTTGTAAAATGGGGTTCCGAACAATGCGGGCCCCCACGGCTGCTCTCGAGGGTGATGAAGCAGCAAGGACGCAAAAGTTCTGCAGATGAGCCCTGCGGCAGAGGAATACACAGATTGGCCTTTGCAGGGACTCAGCGTGAGGGGGCGGGGACACTGCTGGGGCCTGGGTGGGCTCCCTCGGCTCCCTGGAGCTGGGGCGTCTTCTCCCCCTGACACCCGCCCCCCTGTCCCCTCCCGGAGTATTGAAGGGCCCTGCCGGGGCAGAGGCGTTCTCAAGCGCCAAGCAGCGTGGAGAATCGCGCCCCGCCCTCCTTTCAGGCCTAGGTTGCGTGGCCCGCGGCTTCGAGGTACTCTTCCGCCACGGCCTCGGGACCCACCCGCCTGATCTGGGCCGGGCCGGGCCCGCGTTGGGTGGCGGGGCCGAGGCCGGACGGCAGGCGTTGGCACGCGCCGGGCAGCTTTGAAGCGCCGGGGCTGACCGGGGCCCATTGGCCTCCGTGCGTTCCTCGGGCTTGGGGAGGTGGCGGCTCGGTACAAAGGCGCCGCGGGGCAGGCGGGCGGCGCAGCCGGGCACAAAGGGGGCAGCCGAGTGTTAAGGGCATTGTGCCGGCCCCACAAAGCCCGCCCCCGCCCGCCCCCTCGGGGCCAAACTCCGGGCGCCCCGCCGCGCGCGGGCTTCCAGCTGCTGCACATCTGCACGGAAGCTGGGCGCGCGCCTCGCTCTGCCGGCCCCCTCGCCCCCGCCCCCGCTCCTGAGCCGCGCAGACTGCGGGGCAATTTGTCCTCTAATTATGATCCCTCCCCATAAACCGCCGCCCGCGCCTTTCAACTCCGGCGCATTAGCAAACCAACGGCCCTCGGCGAGGCCCTCGCGGCCCGCCCCCTCTCCCGAGTTAGGGCCGCCATAAATGGGCCCGCGGACCGCCCCTGCCCGCACCCTGGAATCCGCAGCTCCTCGGGCCATCACTCCCCTCGAGCCCGAGCCAAGGGCTCCCGGCCGCGCTGGGTGGGGCCGCTCACGTGGGTGGCTTAGTGTTTTCCTAAGCAGTGGAAAATTGACCGCAAAATGAGCTAATTCGCAATGTTCTGCTTTGGCTGCGGGCGGCGGGGCTGTCGGGGAGGCCTGGGCTGGACTCGCAGCCGTCAAATTCTGCCCCCGCCCACTTAATGGGCCTCCGCCTCCGCTGCCCCCTACCCCTATCCCGGCACCGCCCCCTGCGTCCCCTTTTTTTCCCCCATCCCAGGACAAGTCCCCGGGCTGGGGCTACCCCGGCCACACACACACACCTAGGCTGATTTCCTCCCTGCTTCCCGGGTTTCCCACTCCCAGCGCGGCTCGCCCGCCACGAACAGCCCTTAAGCCGGCTGAGGGTCACGCAGACTCAGGGAGGAAAGAGATCCCGGTGCGGATTCCATTCCCCCACTCCCCCTTTCCCGTGCCGGGAGAAATCCCCACTTTACCAGCAATTCGGGCTCCTGAGCAGCCACCTCCCCACTAAGACTCAATTCCTCTCTTCCCTCCCCCACTCTTGTCGAGTCCTGAGCCTGAGCATCCTACCCACACTCACAGGCAGGCGGGGCTCCGGAGGGGTGCGTAGAGGTAGGGGAGACGATTTCCGAGGTGGGGGGGCGGCACACTCCCACCCCCTTATCTGAGAGCAAGCAGGGCGAAGTGCTCTCGGGCTGCAGGGAAGGACATAGACCAACTTAGAAGCCGGGCTTATGCAAACTGGGACGTAGGCCACCGACTCCCTTTCCATCTTTAGCATCTGGGATTCCTAGGGGGCCTGGAAAGGAGCACAAGTTCAGGCAAAGCGCTGGGGAGACCCAGGCTGCCCTTTGCTCATTCAAGGAAAAGATTCCTTCTATAGTTCTGGAGGCCTCTGGGGGCTTCCAGGAATACTCAGAGCCCTCAGCTTCCTCAGGCTTGAGAATTTAAGGCAAAAAGTGAGCTGTGACTTTGTTCTTCCTTCCCCCTTCCCCCGTTTGGTTTAAGAACATTACAGGGGCACCTGGGTGGCTCAGATGGTTGAGCGTCTGCCTTCGCTCAGGTCATGATCCGGGGTCCTGGGACTGAGCCCCATATCGGGCTCCTGGCTCGGCGGGGAGGCTGCCTCTCCCTCTGCCTCTCCCCCTGCTCATGTTCTCTCTCTCTCTCTCTCTGTATCTCTGTGTCTCGAATGAATAAATAAAATCTTAAAAAAAAAAAAAGAAAGGAAAGAACATTACAGAGCAACTGAGGTTTTGGAAACAAGGGAGGGAGGGGGTTTGCAGGTCCCAGGACAAGAGACGGACCAGATATTCTACCAGCCCTCCCAGGTGATGGCCCCGTGTAGCTAGCCTCTTCACCCTGGGTGAGAGCCCCTTCTCTTCCTCCAGCACCCAGACATTGAAAGCCGTGCTAACTGGTGAGTGCCGCAGAGGCCACCGAGGGTGAAGGGGAGGAGAGAAATGCACCGCCTTCTCTGCAGATGCATTTCAAAGTGGAATGAAGTGATTGCTTCATGTAATTAACTATTGGGACACAGCAAAAGCTCTGAAATGACTCAGCCGATTGTCTCCAGATGGGGTTGAAGAGGCTGCGATTGTTTAACTCTCTTTAGCTGTGTTGGGACTCCGAATAGCCCGGCCGCCAAGGGCCCTCCAGGGGACAAAGGCTGGGACTCCGGTGAGTGCATCAACACTGAACCGGGCTGGCCCAGCTCAGGGACAGTGAATTCAGAGAGACCCCCATTGTCCCAGCCCTTTGTGTTTCTCCCCAGCTGGCTCTAATCTTTAAATATTTACCCGGTCCTTTTGTGCACGTATGACTTATGCACTTCGGGCTGATGTGCTCATAAATTACGCATCTTTTACCCGTTTCCAGACTAGAGAGAGGGGGCTTTCATGCCTGGAGCCCAGAATGGCCAGAGGAGGGAGAAGAAAAGTGTTGGAGGATCAGGGTTCCCTCCTGGGGAGAGCAGCAGCTACATTGAACAGGCCCCTCCTGGCCTCCACGTGGGAAGTGGATGGGACAGAGGAACTGTGAGTGACAAGGAGCCCCCAGGAGGCCCCTCTAACAACTGATCGGGGGACCCACCAGCAGGGAGAGGAGGGAGAGGCCAGTTCTCAGACTTTTTCTTACGCGGTGTCAAGCTTGGACAAGAACACACTTCTCACTCTGAGAAGCTGGTGTGGGTTGAGGTGACACCTCACCCCTGGCACCTGCCTCCAGCTTGCTCTGGGTCATCCCCTCTCCCCACATTCTCCCTTGCTCCATCAAGGAACCCCGTTTAAGACAAAGAAGGCTAATTGCATCTCAGCCTGCAGTTTAACTTGGAAAAGTCAAGGCGGTTCTTAGGATTCTTGAAACAGGAGGAATCCCCCCTTAGGTCGGGATGGAAAGCCACCTCAGCTGGTGGGCAAATGGCAGGATGAGGGGGGTGCAGGGGAGACCCTGCAGAGGGACCTTCCTGCATGAGAAAGGGCTCCCTTTGTACTCGCCTCTCGGCTCCAAGAACAAAACACATTCAAATGCTTATTTACAAAAGAAGGCAAGTGAGGCATCCCAGGGCTGAGTAGTTCACCTTTATGTTCTTATATTTTTGTGGGCTTGTTGTTCTCATGCCTGCAGACGACACCGGAGAACTGGATGCGGAGTGGATTTCTTTGACCAGATTGCTTCCCTCTCTGGCAGCGGGTCTCAGTGTATGAGCTTCTGTCCATATCTCTCTGTGAATTACTGTTTCTCTGTGCATCTGTCGATCTCTGTGTGTGACTTTGTTTCTCTGGGTCTATGCCAGTGTGTGCATATATTTGCTTACTTGCCTCTTTCCTCCATTACTGCTCTGTGAGCCGTGGGCCCTGACAGATTCAGCAACTCCAGGCACTTGTAAAAATCCCCCTTCCCTTTGGTCTGGCCATACCTGGGAGGGGACTGCTTTTCCTTTCTTTCTTCCTTCTCCAAGATGGTGCTGATGGAGATGTATGGTCTAAAAGGAGGTGGTAGGCAGAGAAGAGAGGGTTGCTCAGGCTCACCAAGCTGGATTTCCTGGCACTGTGCCCCCAGAACAGGGTGCATCAGTGCCCTAAGTCAGTGTGGACAGCAGATGCCAACGGCCAGAAAAGAAGCTTCCTAGGAGTAGCCGTCTGCCCCAGGACCAGACTCACTCCCAGGAGTGAGGATGCAATGATAATTTTCTGGGGTCCTGAGGTGTCCCAGCATTGGGGGAGAGGTACTGAGTCTGGGTGAGAGCATCAGAAATTGGGGGCAGTGTCGGGAGCATGAGCTCTCAGCCCGTAGTAATGCCATGCCTCCTTCCTACGTGGTACTGCAACTGGGCAACTTTGGATTTCAAAACATTAAATCTCCTTTCAATCCCATGAACCCAGTTTAGCAAATGTTTCCTAAGCATTATTTAAACATGGTACTGGGCTTTGCAGAACATTATCAATACCTTATGCTGAAATGAGGACTCCTTTTTTATAGGAAGCTGAAACTTGGGAGTAGATTTTCTCAAGGTTACAAAGCTGGGCCCTGGCAGTGCTGAGACCAGGATTCAATCCCAGGCTCTCCATCCTTCCCTGAGCCCAGCTGCTCAGATGCCAGGCCTCCTGCCAGGTCCTGTGGGGACAGAAGAGGACGGGGCAGCCAGAGGCTCAGATGCAGGTCTGGGTGACTGCAGTGCACAGCCCGCCCGGTCTCAGCACTCTCTGACCCACTACTCTCGGCTCCAGCCTCTCCAGGGGCCTGTCCCCTATCCCAACTCAGGCTTCCTTTCTCCTACCTGAGTCTGCAAACTTGGTGCCTGCTCTCCCTCCCTCTCCATAGATGCCCTTGCTCTCATTTCCAGCATAAGGCTGCTGGTCCCTGAGTGCCCCAAGACCTAGCTCCAGCATCTCTTCCATGCTGCCTCCTAACCCTCTGCCCGCCCACCTGCAGGACCCTCCTTGGAGTCCCTCTCTCTCTCTCCATTCTTACTTGGCTCCTATCCCCTCCCACCCCACCATAGTTTATTCTAGTCACTCGCTTACTTGTTTTTCTCCTTCATCATCCCTCTGTGAGCTCCCCCGGGTGAGACCATTAACGCTTTCAAAAACAAAAAAACAATTTCGTATTTAAAAAGTAATGTGTTGATTGTGCACAATATGGAAAATACAAAAACATATACAGAAGACAATGAAAGTCACCCATTGTTCTATCACCAATGTTAAAAAATTGTGGCTTATATTTCCATTGTTTCCCCAGGCTCACACGTTTGCTTTTGCTTTTCCCAAGCGAAGCCAAGATCGCACTGTAAAGTTTTGTATTCTGCCTTTTGCAAAACGTGATGTATCCTGAGCTTTTCCACGATTGGCCAACATTCTCCTTCACCACGAACTGAAGTGGGCGGTCGTCCCGCGCGCAGAGTCCCCGTCCTGGGTTTTCCCGCTGCCTCCGGGGCAGGGTCCCCGCGCGGAAGCAGCCTGGGCACCCAGCGGGCGGCCCCGCTCGCGCCTGCGCGCCCAAGGGTGTCAGGGCGGGGTCGCTTCAGAGTCCTTCGGACGGGGACATTCTTGAGTTTGGGGCTCCTTTCTGGCAGACGCCGGCGACCACTTCTCGGCCGGGGACCCAGGTGCCCCGCGGCCCCGCCCGCCGTTCGCCTTTCGGCCGGGGTCAAGGGATCCCGGGAGGAGGGACAGGGCTCGGGGGACCGGCGGGGCGGGGCCACAGACGGGGCGGGGCCGCGGGTGGGGCGC